CCACAGCCTCTGAGACCTGTCCCCAGTCAAAGACTTTTGACACTTGCAAGCATCTTGCAGTCTCTGCTCCATTTGGCTTGGCTCTGTTTGGTAGTTAGTTTTAAGGATGGGGTTTTGCCTGCTGGGCTTAAGGAAGGACCTTGCATTCCTTGGGGTCTCAAGCTTTAGAAGGGGGACCTGCTTGCTTCCCTCTCCCTGGTCCTTCAGAGGCTGAGCCTTGATGCTCCTATTGGTGCAAGAGCACAGGGAGTTGGAATCAATGCGGGTCCTTGCCTGAGAACCAGACTGGTCGGAGAGAGGGCTTGAATTTGCTGTGCAGAGCTCCAGCTGGGCTCAGTGCTGCACTTTTGGAAACCAGCCACCAAATGTTGGCAGCCTGGCAGCAGCACTGTCAAGATCCACCAGGAAGGAGCCCAGGTCAGCCTAGCGCCTTCGCCTAAGTAGCCATCCAGCCATCTTTTTGTTTTTCTCACAACACTGGGGGTCCAGGACCCACTTGTTCTGGGCTCTGCTTGGCAAGGGACATGTTACTTGGTAGAGGCACTTGCCAGATGTGTGTCTGGGAGAAATCCCCTTCCAGGGAGAGAAGCAGGGGGGACTTGCAATTCAGAAGCCTCTCTCACCAGGGGAGCAGGCAGCCATAATCTCCTTGTGTTGCGTGGCTGCAGTCATTCAGTAGCTTGCTGTCATTGCCAGCAGTCCAGCTTTTTGCTGCTTGCATTGGTTGGCTGTCTTTTGTGCCTCTTGGGGTTTGTTTCTCCTGACGGCTGTTGATGATTCTGTAGAACCCTGTGAAGTCGGACATCTGTATCGAGTAAGAAAGTGGCCCTAGTTGTCTGAAACCTGAATGATGCAGCAGGGTTCCCATTACCTGGAACAGGACCCAGGCAAAGAGGGAAGAGGTCTCCTATTTCCAGAGACCACCCTGAAATCCAGCTGTGTTGCCTTCCCCCTCCTGATAGCCACCACCCTCACTTGCATGGGTGTAATGGCATGGAGAGGGCTGAGGTGGAGCTGGCACTGTTTCACCGGCAGGTCTGCTGCTGCTTCAAAGCTTTGTATCTTGCAAGCACTTTCTTCTCATGGCATTGCTTGCCTTTGGTTGTTAGCTGTCCCCTGAAGGTTTCAGGGGCCGGTGGATCGGTCAGACTCAGACCACTGGTTTAGTTTAATTTCCTTTTGGGCTTTTGTTGTTTCATTTTTGTCCTGAAGTTTTTTACTTTTTTTTTTAATACCCCAGCAGGCTGGGGTGTTATGACTACATTGTCATTGTCGATTCATTGGTATTATATTCCTGGGGGCTCACAGAGGTAACTTTTTTCCTCCCCAAATTGCCCTGTCTTGGGGGATCCAAAAGTAAGCGAGGTGAGTAAAAGGCCCTTTGTTAGCAAGACTGTGTCCCCTATCAGTAGTGTCCACCCCAGCCTCTTGCATAGGGGAGCAGGGCTGTTAATCTGGGCTGGCCCCAGGGTAGCAGAGCTGGTCTCCTGATGCAGTCCAGGGAAAGAGCAGAATGGCAGGACCCTGCTCCCCCATTACTGTACAGTGACCTTTCTAGACCTCTCTCCACACTGAAGCTTGGTGCAGACTCAGGTCTTGAGCATATGGACTTGTTTAGCTGTTTCCTGACACATTAAAGCAACCATATAAAGTGAAGACCTGAATAAGGATGGGATGAATATGCATAAATGAGTACCAGAGGGGGGCTGGGCCCAGGGGTTGCTGGGAATGGGGATGGGAGAAGGAAGGCAGCACTGCCTCTTCCTTTCACCCTACGATTGGCACTTTTTTAGTAGGACCCTTCACGCTGTCCTGAGTGCGAGCCGTGGGCAGCGAGTTTGAATCCCTTCCCTGCACCCCCTCGCCTCGCGCTCTGGAGGGGAAGCTGAGCCCTTGTTTTTTTGTTTTTTTTTTTTTTAAGTGTTTTTTGGTGTTTTTGTTTTTTTCTTCTGTCAGGTTTTAGAGGGCTCTGAATGGGGCCAAGACCAGAAGCAGCAGCTTGTTGCATTGAAATTGTGCAGGAGGGAGGTGATTTCTTTTAGTTGTTTTTCTCGTGTTTTAAATTGGCAGCCGTGCAGCTGGACTCTGCACGCGTGAAGCTCTGGGATCCGCACTCCAGGTACGCTTGAGACGAGAGTGCCCAGGTGAATCGGACCCCCTCCTGGAGAGGGGGCTGAGCAGACCTTCCCCACCCCTCCCCATCACTGCCTTACCTCAGGAGCTGGTCCTCCCTTCTCTGCTCCTTTCTCTTCCCCCTACCCAATCCCTTGCTGAGGGAGTTGCTCTGGAGACTCAGTCCTGTAGACAGGGTTGGTCTCTCAGGGCTTGTTCCTGCAAACATCATGCCTGGTAGCTGGTGTTTGTACCTCAAAGCCACTTCCTCCACCCAAAGGGCTGACCTGCAGGATCCCCCTCCCTTCCCCAGGACCTGCATCTTCTCATCAGCCCTTTTCTATCCAGGAAGGAGCAAGCATCAAAAACCTGGGAAATCCTTGGAATTCAGGAGAAACTTTGAGTTAGAGGTTGTGGCTGATCGCCTTATTGGCCTCAAACGTAGATGATGTTGGTTTAAAGCCCATATTTTTTTGTAGGGGGTTAAAGGGGAGATCGTGTTTTATTTTCTTGAAAGTGAATTGAGCTTGGTGATCTTCAGATGAGAAGCGCACTTGATTTATACTCAGAATCTATAGAGAGAGATTGCAGATATTTTTGGAAAGGGAATGGGTCTATGCAAACTTCCAAAATTGCTTGAAAGATAGTTTAACTTTTTTCTTTTTTACTTTGAAATCTAAAGAGAATTCTAACTCTTTTTCTTTTAAAGCAGAAGTGCGTTTAGAGAGAAGTTACTTCCACTGCTCTATTTTGGTGATGATTATTGGAGAGTTTGGGGGCTGGAGAGAGTGACTATATTTTCACCATTTTTATCTTGCTCCTCTAGTTCGTTGTTGTTTTTTTTTTTTTTTTTTTTTTCCTTCTTTCCGTTTCTTTTTCTAACAGAATGCTGTGCCGTCTTTGATTCAACAGATCGTGTTTGTATTTTCTGTATCTGGTTCCTAATGTAGAGAAATAACAAATATATGAGGAAATCAATATAATGTCAAATGTCGTTACGGTTTTGGGGGAAAATAAAGGTTTTTGGTTTCTTTTTTGGTACTTCACATATTGATCCTTGATGGTGTTCAACTGCACCCATTGCTCTTTCTTAATTATCCATGTCAGGCAAGGGGATGGATAAAGGACTTCAGAGAGAGAATGTACAGCGCCTGCCACCATGGGGTCTGGTTCATGAATGGGATTCCAAGGTGCCACCATGGCACCAACAGTGGATTTGCTGAGAGCTTGTCCATGGGAGCTGAACTGTGAGGAGTTTAGTAGGACTTTCCCCTGCTGCTGATTTTTAGTTACTTGCATAGAAAAAGGCGGGGGGGGGACGAGGGAAGGGAACTGTGCAAACCTAATGGCAAAGTGCTAGGGATAGCCTGAAATGCACACGTGGGGAGGTTGTGTAAAGTCCTAGGAATGCAAGAACGATGCACAATTAGATTGAACTGTAAGCACCTCAGACCTACACGGAGTGGAAGGCTTTCGGTCTTGATACACCTGCTGTCATCCCACCCAGCCACAGGAAGGGCAGGGCTAGAGGCCAGATCCACCCCGTACTTGCTCTTCCCTAGCAGAAGCCACAGCCAGTCCATCAGCAGAGGTTTGTGGTCCACAAAGCACTTGTTGGCCACCTGCAGAGTGCACGGAGTAGTGCTAGTCCCCCGATGGCCACCTGCTAAACTGCATTGAAAAGAATAGGAGCCTCTTATCCTCCCAATGCTGTCCTTCCATGGAGAAAGCCATAGCTTCCCCATGGCAGCTGTTGGATTGTACATGGGGGAAGAGACAGGCCAGGTAATGACATCCCAACTAAGATGAGTGGTCTTTTCTAGAGAGAGATGCCCTATGCGACTTCCAGGGCCCTGATTTTAGCAGTTTGCACTGAAAACCAAAGTCCATTTGCTCTGTTCTCCTCTCTTGAAGTTCCTACCACCTGTGTCAAACACAGGTGAATCTCCTTAGCCCCTGCTTCTTCTCTCCAGGCCCCATTTGTTCAACATGCCTGGCTGCAAGCAACTGCTCTCGCTTCTCTCCTCAGGCAGTACGAGTGTCGTTTGCATGCAAACAGTTGTTAGGATTTTCAAAATTGCCTTTTTCTGACCATGTAAACTACTTAGAGCTTGGGAGCTCAGCTATGTAGAATGAGCTTGTTCTTAATCCAGCCAGTGAAGATGAGCCGCTCCCTCTTCAAAGGTTTACAAATGCCAGTGCTTCTAGAAACTGAAGCCGGACCAACCTCTTGGGCAAAAGTAAATAAAGGCCAGTGTCTTTGTCTTTAACAGCCTGTCTACAGCCTAGGAGCTGCTGCATGAGGACCACTTAAAGACCAATTTGCCACTGGCCTTGGATGCAGGAGGCATGAAACACAAATCTGGCTTACCTGGCAGGGGAAATACCATGACCACGCTGGGGGAAAAACACTTTCTTGGCAGGGGGTAGTACCTTGATGGAGGTAAGGCATAGTTACATCTCCCACTTTCACTTCCAGTGGGAAGATCTTGGCTTTATGCCAACTTTATGGAAATGGGAGACTCCCCTGTAACTTGCTCCTGTGGCCATACAGCTGAGGGCAAGTGAAACTCTGGGGCATCCAAACCCCAAGCCTCTGGGCTTGGGCCTGCACATAGGATGCCTGCCAAAGGATATGGAAGCATCTGAAGCCCCAAGCGGGGGTGGAGGATGCTTGCCAGTAGTAGGACCACATATGGTTCTTGAATGACTCACGGATTTGGAACTGATTTGACTTGAGGCATGAAAAATTCTCCAAAAAACAAAAAAAAAATATGGCTCTGTTCACTTTCTAGGTTAAGCATTTCCCTGAATTCCACCAACCGCAGCATTGCTCACCCCTCGCCCCC